ATGACAGTGACAATTTGCTACAATGATACAGTAAACTAGGAGAGTTTTTATCTAAAGATATTGCAAAGCAAAATATTGTTTTCAAGATAATGATAGGTCTTTAAAGTATTTAGCATATAAAATTTTGCAGTTCACTTATGTCCCTTTTAGAGGGATAAAATTTATAGTTCTTTACTTTAATAGAGACAAAAGTCTAGAAATATTATAAATCAATAATTTGAATAATGAAGAACAATTGTAGATGGTTTTTTTATAGTTATTAATTTAAAAATTTTAATATTTTATAGTAAGAGACATTTGACTTTTATTTTTGACTTTTCTTTTAGGAACCTATCTTTATTTCAAGATCAAATTTAGAGGCTTTATGCTTATGATGGATTAGTTAAATTAGAATAATGGTTTAGCTATAATATATATTCTATTACTTGAATGAAAATATGCTTATGTTTTCAATTGATTAATAAACTAACAATCTAGTCCAACTATGAGTAAAGATGGATTTCTAAAGGGGTGACAAGAACAAAAATCAAATATCCCTTACTAGGAAACATTAAAATTTTTAATAAAAAAATTACATATAATTGTTTTCTATTATTCAAATTATTGAGTTATAGTATTTCCTGATTTTTATCTCTATTAAAGTGAATAGCTATAAATTTTGTCTCTCAAAAAAGGACATAAGTAATTTGCAAAATTTTATATGCTAAATACTTTAGGAACCTATCATTAGCTATATGTACTCAAAATAATAATAATAATGATGATATTATTAATAAATAAATCTTTAAAAATTAATAAGCAACCAATTATTTTAGTACTCTTTATTTAAATTTTAAAATGAATTTTAATTTTTTTTATTATATCTATAATATTTTAAATAGGTTTTATTTAATATATCTTTTATTTAGATAAACATTAAAGTTAAATTTAAATTTGTTTATATAATTTTGATTAAGTTTTAAATATAAAAATTTTTTTATTAAAACTATAAAACCAATAAAAATATAATTATCTTATATCAACTTTTCAAAAAAAATAAATTAATTATAGTTTTTGAAATAAAAGTTTAAAAATTAAATAAAACAAAAATATTTTATTATTATTATTATTATTTTAAATCTGTGATCAAGCCAGTACTATATGTTTATTAATCATTAATAAAACCAATTGAGATACATAGGGCAATTGCATCATGGCTAAACTAAAAAACTTATACTGACATACTCATTAATGACTTTCAATTTTCAAAAGAGCTTTAGCCTCTAAATGTAATCTTGGGGACAATATTTTGCTTTGAACTAAGTTTTGGGTGAAGACCCTCCTAACTTATTCATTATTGTCAACAAGTTGTTACTACTTATTATTCTTCAAGAAACTGAATTTAAAAAATTACAAAAGAGGAAAAAAAAAATAAAAGGAAGAAGATATCTAAAAATACACAACTGTATTATATGAAAACAAAAAGAAAAAAGAAAAATAAAAGCATTACATATTCTTCAAAAGGCTCTGCTGGAAACCTATTCTTATTAAGAGTCAATCCTTCTGAGATATCCTATTCTTCTTCTTCTTGACTGTTTGAGAAACTTATCCATCTGTACTTTTGATTATTTTTTTGTAACTGTCTGAGGTACTTATCACCTATTCAGATCTAGTGTCTTGCTTAATGCTTCCTTTTTTTTTATCTTGATTTTGTATTCACCTGTATAGAAGAAAAATAACTAATGATAGACTCCAAATTCTTATATGACTTTTTAGTCTTGTTGAGTAATTCCCGATATCTTCCAGCAGCCACATCTAGTTAAAGAAATTTTACTGGTGTTTATCTTGATTGCAATATTATTACATAATGTTTGGGAAAATGCATTCTCAATCTTAGAGAAGGGCAGTATTTTATATTTCTCTGTTTTTTGATCTTATAGCCTGATTAGAATAAGGAAATAACCTTCTTTATGTACTTTGCTTGACTAGGATGATAAGAAGTTGAAGGTCTCAGCTTGAACAAATAATCATCTTTTTATTACCTAGGGAATTTAGTACCTATCCTAATGGCCTCATGATTTCTTTGCTTCAATTAAACTTTATTTAAAGAAGTAAAGGAGTTTATATCCTTGATTTCTCTTTCTATTACCAATAATATTATCAGAATATGTGAGGTGATCAATAGGGGCTTGTTTACATTCAGTTACCAACATGTTTTGTATCAACCAATTAGATGTCAGGTAATATTGTACTACCATAAATCTAGGGTCAGATTGAGATAGGCAAAATTCTCCAAGAAAACTGTGAAAAACAGTAAATACTTTAAAAAAGTACAAGACAATATGTTAAAAGGTGAATAATAAACTTTCCCCTGTTAACAAAATCTCTATTTCTTGTCACCTCTAGCTCTGTAAGATGACACTTCACTTGTTAATTCTTTTACTTCCTAAAATCTTGTCCTTAGTAGAGGAAGTGTATACTTGAGTCTTTTTAGATCACTAAAGACCCAAGTTTTTATTCAAAAAAGTTTATAAACAAGTAAGCTTTAAGTTGTTTTAATAAAAGTATAAAGACTTTATTAGCAAGGAAATATAAAACTTCTTGCAAATATTTTTTCTGTGTGTGGTCAGAGGATCAGCGGAAAGAATTTTTTTTTTACTAAAAACTAGCATATTTTATATTAACTAATCACTATTTATAAAGATTATATGATTTAAAAATTTAGAATCAAATTAAAATATATAAAATTACTTTAAAAATATCAAATACTTCATAGTTTGTTCTTTTTTTTTTTTAATACCTTTTTTACTATTGATAGTAAAGATGTTATTTAATTTTTATTATTATTATAAACTAAATTTTTTGATCAGAGAGGTTTGTAATCAAGAAGAGAAAGATAGAAAGAAGTGATCCTTGAAGATACTCTTCAAATTGTTTTAAAGAAAGTATTAAGACTTTAGTAATCAAAAAATCAAAAGATTTATGCAAATATTTTTTATATAATGACCAAAGAATCAATAGAAAGAGTTTTAATTTAAATATATCTTTGATAAATAGATATGTTTGATTACATATAATTTTTTTATTCTATTGAGTAAAACTAAATATTATATAATAACCTTTTGTATTATAGTTTTTATAGTTTATAACTTTATAAATCCTTAAAAAGTAGATCGTATTAAAAAAGAATTTTAAGCTTATAAAAATTATTTCATTTTTATGTTCTTTTATTCGTATTAATATAACCAATTTTTATCATTACCTTGATTGAAATTTTAAATTCATTTGTTTAAACATAGCAAAACTTCCAACATGACTTGATAATCTCGCGCGGCGGACGGATACGCAAATGTTCGCTTCGCACCGAACAAAAGGACCAGAATTTTTTGATCAATATTTGTTTTATAAAGTCACACGTGCCGTACCTTGTGACTATCCTCGTGATCATCCCGTTACACTCGATATATTCACTGTGCAATCGTGTTTTATACCTTGTTGCGAGATCGTGTCAAGATTTATTGTGTCTTGCATTTTATTGCACTTTATATTTGTTCATTTAGATGTACTAATAAGGAAAAAAAAATTTCGTTAGGAATGGTGTATATACATTTTTGTAATTACGGTTCAATCGAATTCAATGTCTTGTGCTATGTGATGCAAACACGTAGAGGACAAACTTTATGCACATTTATCATTAAAAAAAAAAGAAAAAAGAAGAATACATGTGATTTTGTAAGTAGATATAAAGAAATAATAGGTAAATAATAAAATGTAGAGGCACCGTAAGCTAAAGATAATCGAGGAAAATTTTCATCATTAGAATCAGATAATGTTAAATTTTGATTATATAAATTTAGGCATTTTTTTGATGTTATGACCTCATTAGGTATGGCGAATCCCGACAGTCTATACCAACCAAGCGAAAAATAATTACGTATATACCATGCACCGGAAATTATTATAAGATGTCAATCCTCATTGTTATTCGTTTACCATTTTAGCCCATGACTCATGACTCATAATGCTGACATTTGCATCATAATGGTGGCACGGGTTGAGGAGTGCATGCTAAACGTTAATTGTCGCTCCCGATGAACCATACAAAATTTCAAAAATTTCCTAAATCACCCGAAACGGTGAACCCCCCCTAAATGCGCACCCCTGGGATTTTCAAAATTTTAAGAGTTCATTTATTTTGTATTAGATAATAAATTTATCTTTAATGAATTATTGTTATCATTATTTTCTAATTTTAAAAACCAAAAGAATCTTTAATGAATTATTATTATCATTATTTTCTAATTTTAAAAACCAAAAGAATTTGGTTTTATTAATAAATAAATTTTACGAATAGGCCTAGTACATTTGATGGTTTTTAAATTTTATATATTACCTCGTTCAAATCGAAAGCATTACGTTATAAGTCTTTAAATTTTTTGTTTAAAAGTTTGTGGCTACTGCATGATTTCATTTTAATCGTAAGTGTCTCACGATTTATTTATCATTGCAAATTAAGACTAAAGCGATCTTCGAGGTACATAATTGCTATTAATAATAATCTAGAAAATTCTTTACACCAATTTCATAATTGAATCGCGAGATTTTGCTCGTTAAAGAGCTTCTTTGTCTCGTCTCGTCTTTATTAAATAAATTAAAGTGACCTATTTCAGACTAAATACAATACAATGCATTTATAAAACTAGTCGAATTAGTATTTGATAAATATCAAAAAATTTTCTTTGAAATCGACGAATAAATAAAATGAATGACGCGTTTTCTTTTAAGAAGGAATGATATAAATTTGTACAGTAAAGAAAAAAGAAACCGGTCCACTAACATAAATGGATTCGGTTTCCTTTTCGATAGAATTTTTTTACAAAATTAAAGAGAGATTAAATGTTATGAAATTAAATGCATAAAGTTTAGTATACTATATACAGTATACGCATATCTATATATATTATTTCTATAGCTTAACATTGCAAACTTTGGATTAGAGTTGAATTTTCCGCTGATAGTTCTCAAGGCGGATTTGCGTTACTCCCCGTTTCAATTGTTCTAGGAAGACAAAGGTCAGACAAAAATGAGGGCCAATCCTCACAAAGTGAGTGCCGAAACCTTTATAAAGCGACGACCACCCTTCGTTCTTTATAATGTTCAACATGGTGGAAGCGACAGACTTATCGGATGACGATGAAGCATTGTATAAACGCGTCCTCCTGTAAATCACAATTAGCATAATTAGATGTTGCATGCGTTAAATAATGGAAGACTATTTAAAATACATACACGACATCCAAAGGATTCATGAAAATAACGCTTATAAATGCGCTTATTAAGCTGCACCCCATATCAAGAGGAATACCGTCTTTAAATCCTTCTCGCTTAGCATGATCTTTCAACATCGTGTAGGAAGAAAGATTTGCAGCACTTCCCAAAACTCCTCGATACACGGAAATCATTGATCCACGATAGAAACCTTTGATACCACCTTCAGACATGATATGACGGAAAGCGGATGATATTGAAGAATATCCATACTGATTACCGACAGCAATGGCACCTGCGGCTGAACTTTGCAAACGAGTCTTTACTAATTCAAATGGATTCGCGCTAACAGCCCCCATAGCACCACATAAGCCACCGGCGATCATTCGTTTATAAGCTGGTGCAGAAGACGAAGAAGTAGAGTCATCGGTAGGATGTATAATTGAAAGGATTGGATCGTAAAGGCCCTAATCATTATAAATGAATATCAGAATAGAGTTCATTGGGAAGAAAAAAAAAACAACTTTCATCAAAGGATGCTTACCAATCGAAAAACGTTTTTAGAGCTTTCTTTTAGAATAGAAGGCATAAGTCCTTTCTCGAGACCTCGCATTCCTTCGAACTTGTAAGTTTTCAATAGGCAATCGAGACTGTTCCTGTAAACCTAACAAGGAAAATGTAATTATCAGTCTCAAATTGTTTCTACTTAAGTAGGTGATGTAAATGTTTATCTACCTTTTCGGCGACAACTCGAATCGTTTTTCCATTGAAATCCTTTACTATCTTCACTTCACCCTGCAGTTGCATTCTGACCTTAACGGTATCAAATGGTAAAGTAAAAACAACAGCCATGCTTGGAGCCAAGGCACTCATTGCGAAATTCTCCAATTGAGAGATGTTCGGGCGAGGCGGGAGAGTTTTCAATGGTGGAGCGGAGGAAAGGGAATTTTGGTTTGGTAAAGTCGCACTCTGAGCGGTAATGCGCGTAGCGATGGAATTTTGATGAGAATTCAATATGGATGACATATTAGGTGATAAAATTTTGAGTGGGGGAAGATTGAATTTTTTTTTTTTTTAATTTTCAAAACAAGCGTTTTATCCGTCTCCTTTTCAAATATGTATTATTCCTTGTCGAAGTTATCATATAAGGAAGAGAAGAAGGAAAAAAAAGAAAAAAAAAGAAAGAAAAAAATTTTTGATCAACGAGAACTTGGGCTCGAGCAAGGATATACAGTATATATATATAATTTCAGGCTATTCTAAATTAAAAAAAAAAAAGATTTTCTTTTAAGTCATTATGGTGTGTTACTATAATACAGTAAACGTGTTGTTGAAGGCTGTGACAAGAAATTAACGCTTCCGAAAATATCCGTAGTCCCGTGAATGTGAAACCTCCATAATCACACTATTTTACAAAAGGATTTAATTCAGTTTGAGCGGGGAACTATTACGTAATGAGATTTTGACGGGGAACTCGTATGACTCCATTTTTAATTACCATCATTCGGGCGCCAGTCGCACGCGTCATTTTGTTAATCCGGTTTTTTTTTTTCCTGACGTTTCCGACATAAATGGAAATTTGGCTCAAAAGATCGTATGGTCGATTATTTTCCAAGTAAGCTAAAATGGCTTACTTAAATCATAATTCTTATTGATTTAACACGAAGAAGATGCATTTGTCGAATGCGAACGCTGTTTTGTTTCTTGAGGATACCTAAATTTGCTTATATCGAACACTTGATGAAGCCACCTGCCTATTTACTGAAATTGTATCGCATAAAAATCGGTTAGAATTCAAGGCAAAATGATCGACACAAAAACGAATGTTTGAAAGAACACCAATAGAAAACGTACCGTTACAGTCAAAATTCCGTCAAGTCCCTTAACAATAAGTTTTTCGATTACCTTGACTAAATTCTTTTACCTTCCTCCTCAATTATCAATTTTCCTGAAACAAGATTCTTAACTTCTGGTCATCTTTCTCCAGGAACAATGTGATAAAGGTTTGAAATATGATAATGATCTTGATATTGGAAATACAAAAATAGATGGAATAAAAATTATTTTTCAATTAAATCTAAATATAATTAAAGTACAGGAAACCACGAAATTTCAATTCTCACCGGTCAGTATAATGAGTTAAATGTATTTATAAATGATAATATTAAAAAAAAAATTGAGGGATTTGTGGTATTATGCGGTGAAATCGGCAATATCGTTTTCTTTAAGACTATCATTGATAAGAAGTTTTTTTTTTTAATCAAACCATTTGTGCTCAAGATTCTGGTTTCGATATGTGATAACATTCGCATTGAATTTTAATACAAAGAATAATACCACAAAAAATCCAACAATATATAATATATGGTATATATTTATTGCGAGATCTAAAGTATTTATTTTATTGTGATCATTTTATTATTAATTACTACGTATTAAGATTAAACCTAATAACTTGGTTATTGTAAAAAGACACTCGAATATTCCCTAACACTAATAGGAATATTCTATCACCCACGTGAAGGTGTCATAAGAAATATTTAATTACAGAATATAAACATATCGAACAATATACAGTATGCAAACTAAAACTAAAATGAAAATGAATTCATAAGCAAGAAGATGAACGAATAATGTAGAGGTGAAAAGTTCATAAAATGAAGGCCAAGCGTTATGTGGAGGCCGTCTGCTACACGGAAGTATTCTAAAATATCTTGATCTCATGACTGTTTTTTTAATCGCGGTTCAAATCGTTCAATATTCTGAGAATTGAAATGAATAGATTGATGAAATCCAAATAAAGCTCGACAGCAGCAATGATATATTCTTCAGGATTTAATCTCTTCGTGATCACAAATGTGTCGTAGACAATAAAGCCACAGAATAAGATTGCGGTGCCAATAGCAATAACCAAGTCGAATGTCTTATTGAACGGAAGGAAAATTGCAACAAATCCAATAATAATCACGACCCAGAGGCCAATCGATAAACTAAAAATTCAAAATCCCGTTTAGATTTATTTCATAAATTTTGATTATGACAACACAAAATTAAGATGTACTTACAAGGGAAACATTCCACTAAAATCATATTTAGATTGCATAGAAAACAAGGTTAATCCAGTGAAAATACCGGTTGTGAGTATCAACGCTTGTAAAACAATATTTTGGTCAAAGAAAGTGACTATAAGATAAAGAATATTTATTAACACAACGTTCAACATCCATTCATTGATAAAAGTCATTTATTTAGAATTCTCACCAAGGGTACCAACACAGTAACTTTCTGCAAGAGTAAAAGCAGCCAAAAGTTGTAAATTGAGAGGATGAGAGCGACGTTTCCATAACAGGGCAAATAAGAGAACAAATGTCAAAATAGTAGATAAGATCATTGCCCAGGAACTGTGAAAAATATATCATTATTTTAGTTTTAGATATAAAGGCATCTTGCCATAAACAGAAAAAAAATATTCGTACTTTTCTTGAACCCAAAATCTGACGTTAGGATTATACATCATAATTCCGGCTACGACGGTTGTCATTAGAAGTTGTATAAACAGAATGGAGTAAACCTTGCGAACGAAAGCTTTAGAATTGACTGTTAGTTCGGGTCACAATATTTTAGAAAAAATCGTAAAGAACGTAAGTACCAACCCATACGAATACTGAGATCACACTCCGAAACATTTACTCCATGCTTAAAATCGTCCGGTACATCCCATTCTTCACCAACGAGAGGCTCGCGTGAAGATGAAGCTTGCGAGTAAGCGGGCGGCGCCGCAGTGTAAGATCCACCGGTATCCTGGCGAGGTGCGCTGTACATTTCTTATGAGTAAAATCCTAGAAAACAAAAAACAATTATTTTTAAGTATATTCCGTGTGATTATTTCATGGCGTATATGACATCATTAACTTTTTTTTTAACTCGGCAATCAGGCCATTATGGTAAAAAATTGGTATTAGTAAAAAAAATTTTTAATTTAATTTATTCTATATCAAATTTAACAAAAAATCACAAATTCAG